ATATTATTATTAATATAATAAATATAATTATATCAATACAATATAATATATAATATATTATAAAATAATAATTACAATATGATATTATAATTATAATATCATATTATTAAAATAATTATAATTTTATTATAATATCATATTATATGATAAAATAATAATATTAGAGTTATTAATATAATTATGATATTATTTATTATAATATTATATTATATTATATTACGAGTCTGAATTTTAGATTGAGAATATTGTAAATTTTAAATTTTATTAGAGGTATTATGGGTATTATAAAAATTTCATTAATTGTACTATGGTGATTCTTGCATAATTTAAAAGCTAAAGTTATCTTTAGGCTCCTTCTGATTTTGACTGTAGATTCTTGAAAAATTCTTTAAAAAGCACTTTTGAAGAGATTTATCAAACACTAAAATCAACTTCTACTACAAATAAAAGCTGATTTTGAGAGGAAAAAGCAATACCAAACTAAGCTACACTTATACTTCCAATTAAAATGTCTGCAAAACCGTTACATTAATTGCAAAATATTCTTTTTATTGAAATATTTTCATTTAATGTGACTATTAAAGGGAGTGAGGTTAAAAACCATATCAGACAGGGGAAAAAAAATGTGAATCCTTATCAAATAAAATAGAAAAGAATCTCTTCCCACAAAAAATGAAAAAGAAAAAAAAAAACTAAAAATGGAACCACCTGACAAACTAAGGTGGCGACTCGTAATGCGGTAATAACAAACTAATAACCGCTATTGCCAATTTCATGATTACAAAACTACGATATTTACTTCTTTTTTCGATATATATATTTCTCTCTTCCTTTTTGTTTTGTTTTGTTTTTTTTTTAAATTCCTTATATGCATGGCCGTTTGTCCTGTCGTCATCAATAGACTCCATGGGAAAGAAGAAGAAAACCCACGGCGAAACCAAAGTAAGATCACTCTCATTAATATCCATTCCCAGATTCCTCTTTTTTTATGTTAATTTAGTAACATCTCATGACATTCAATTTATATTTCTTAATGTTATATATATATATATATATAACATTTATATATATGAATGATTTAGGCCATAGTTGCAGAATTCTCAGTCTCAATGCATTGCAATGCATGCGAAAGAACCGTTGCCAAAGCCATTTCCAAGCTTAAAGGTAATTTTTTTTTTTTTTTAAAAAGAAAGTTACTAATTATAACGTACGTTACCCCAATTTCCACTATATTAATCTTTTTTTTTTCGGTATTTTGTTTAATTAAGGGGTGGAGAAATTTACGACAGACATGAACAACCACAAGGTTGTGGTGATAGGCAAGATTGATCCTCAGAAAGTTTTGAAGAAACTGAGGAAGAAGACCGGGAAGAGAGTGGCAATTGTGGTAAACGACAATGAATTAGAGGCACCTAAAGATGGTAATAATAATAACAACAACAATAATAATAATAATAATATTGGTACCTCAGATCATGGAGAAGGGTATTTGTCCCAACGGGAAAGAGATTTGAAAGCAGTTGAAATTTGTAATTATTATAACTCAATTAACATGTTTGATTGTTATTGCAAGGATAGCGAGATGCTCCTAATGATGTTTAGCGACGAGAACCCAAATGCTTGTTGTGTAATGTAATGTTGAGAGAGTTAATTCATTATCCAAGTAATGTTTTAATTGTTAAAAATACGATATTGGATCAATCCGCACACAAATATATATATATATTGTAGTTTATGTATAGTGCATCTAATTTTACCATTAAACTATGCTTACAACCTTTTAATAATTCGTAAAAACATGGTAAATATTTGAACCGTTAATTTGAAAAAGTTTGAACTGTTATTTTTTATTTGTGATTTTTTTTTTATTTGTGAATGTTAAGGACACGCAAAAGCATGAAGTTGCTTTAGATATTAAAGGCCCGTTTAGTTCGTTAATTCGAATTTTTAATTCGAGTTGAGACATGACTTTATGTGAGAACTTTTATTATAATAAAAAAGTTAGATATAATTATTTCTGTGAACTTTTTACTGTAACAAAATTCGAATTCTAAACTCAAATCGGTAAAATAAACATGCCTTAATAACAATGTTTTTTTTTAGCATTTTTACCTCCGTTTTTTTTTTTTTTAAATCCGAGCCTTTTAGATTCTAACAACTTGATTGTTCCTCCTCGGGTCCCCCAACCAACAAAAAAACTAATGACCGCCTCACGTGAAGACGGGAAGGTGCACCTCCAATCAAAGATTTCGTGGACGTTTGGTTCATAAATTCATAATTATGATTCAGAATCATTCTCGTTTTATGTGTGTTTTTTGTGAGATAAAAATACTATAGAAAAGACGCCTCACGTGAAGACGGAGAAGGTGCACCTCCAATCAAAGATTTTATCTGAATTCAAACTCTAACACAAATCACTATCAATTTCCAAGTTCAACCCCAACAGTTCGACCATCTTTTTATGCCTAAATTCATCTGTCCTTTATTGTATCAATACGTTTTTTTTTTTTTTTTTTGGGTACACACTTTTTCTACAGCGCGTTTTCCTCAATTGACTTTGAAACTCATATGATATATCTATTCACGAATAACTGGGTCATAATGACCACTTTAGCCATTGCAGCTGCAAAGTGGATTTTGACATCTTTCGGTGGAAATACAAAGAACCCACAAATGTCCAACGGATGAACATCTCCAACTACAAAGAGTTAGGACGTTATATATATATATATATATAATGTATATATTATGGTTTGAATAACTCACCACAAAGTCCACTTCTAAAGTGCTACGGCACAGAAAGTTTTTTTTAGGACCAAGACACATATATATAGATATAGTGAGATATAAGCTAATGTCCAAGACTCTTAATGGACTGCATTATCATGAGTTTTGGTCGAGAACCTTGTAAGCAATGAGCACCAGACAAGCAAATTCATATCAAGAATACAAGTGTTGCAAAATAAGCAGCACACTTGGTCATTTTTTGGCCAAGCAAAGGCCAACACGCGGCAAAGACTCGTATAAAAGCTGGTTTATTTTATTTTTTATATACCATGAGAATTTGAACATTAATAGAAGAAAAAATATGCAAAATTTGACAGAATTTAATACAAATTTAATGGTGATACTAGTGGAATCGATCTCAATTGAGAATTATACATTGTATCGCCGGGTCATTCACATTCTACTATTATTTAGTATAAATGAACTTTCCCTTTAAAAAAAATAAGGATTTATATAGTAATTTTCATAAATATTTATTTTATTACGACAAATGAGGAAGCTGCTTTCAAAGACTCCCAACTTCAAACGTCGTCTTTTATAAAGTAGTCTCTTCCTATAACTAACCTCGCCATCTTTTTGAATCTTTTTTCAAATTGACAAACGTTTTGGAGCAAACTGGTAAAAGATTGGGGTGAGAATAAAGTGTGTGCAACATATTTTTAGTTTTGTGGGGGGCAAAGAAACCGACTTTGTAGTAATGGGGTCTTTTCAGTCCAATGTCATGAAATTTATTAAAATAAATAAATAAATAAATAAACTTTCGGATGCACAATATCAAGAACGATAATTTTTCAGTGGGCATGAAAATGTTATCCTTGACAAGCACCACTTTTATCAGATTCTTTCAACGTAATGTTTTAAAACACGTACTACAGATAAAAATACCTTAAAAAAGCTCATGTGCAAAGTGTTTCTTGCCCTAGATATTTTTTTTTTCCGAGAGGGTTGATATAAATGATTGGCGTTTCTTCACTTCTGATTCTCTGAAGATTTGTATATATATATGATAGGAGAACTAATATATAGATTGCTTGACAGTAGAAGAGCTTCCATTTCAGGAATCAATGTTATACTTTTGAATTTATAGGATAATCAGTTGATGCTATGACTTATGGGCCAAATTATCTTATACACAAATTAAAATCTAATACATCACACTTAAAGGATTTGTACCCAAAAAAAAAAAAAAAAAAAAAAAAAAAAAAATTCTATAAGCTGTTTCATCGTGACATGACTTCAAGAGCCTCTCTAGTTTGTCCTAGAATGTTGAAAACTGTTGCTGCAATGTGAGAAGGTGTAAGACCGGCTTCAGCAAATTGATCGGCCGGCGATCCATGGTCGATGTACCGATCAGGAAGAACTAGTGGTCTCCACTGCAAGTTTATTGAGACAGGAAAGTTAGTTTTCATCATGCAATGCTTATACTTTTCAACGCAATTTTCAAGCTGTTAAGATGGACTTTTTTTACCTTAATTTTGCCATCGAATCTCTATAAGCTGTTTCATCGTGACATGACTTCAAGAGCCTCTCTAGTTTGTCCTAGAATGTTGAAAACTGTTGCTGCAATGTGAGAAGGTGTAAGACCGGCTTCAGCAAATTGATCGGCCGGCGATCCATGGTCGATGTACCGATCAGGAAGAACTAGTGGTCTCCACTGCAAGTTTATTGAGACAGGAAAGTTAGTTTTCATCATGCAATGCTTATACTTTTCAACGCAATTTTCAAGCTGTTAAGATGGACTTTTTTTACCTTAATTTTGCCATCAAGAAGGCCATCAAGGGCAAGAAACTGTGCAACATGAGATCCAAAGCCTCCAATAGATCCTTCTTCAACTGTGATCAAGATCTCGTGGTTTTTCGCGAGGCTGCGAATAAGTGCACGGTCCAAAGGCTTGCAAAACCGCGCATCAGCGACGGTTAACCGCAAACCATGAGGTTCGACTAGATGCGCAGCGGCCAAACAACTCTGAACTGCTGCTCCATAGCCCAAAAGTGCAACTCTATCCCCTTCAATCAATATCCTTCCTTTCCCAACCTGTTTTGAAGTATCACAAAACATATAGATCAGTATACGAAATATTTTAGAACAAAAACTTACGAGACAACAGTATAGGATCTGAGTGAAAGCTACCTCAAGAGGAATGCCTTTATTCCCCGGAGGCAGTGGAACCCCAACGCCATTTCCTCTTGGGTATCGGAAGCAACTCGGCCTGTCGTTGATAGCAGAAGCAGTAGCAATCATGTGGAAGAGCTCTGCCTCATCAGAAGGAGCCATAACCACCATGTTAGGAAGGCATGCCATGAAAGTGACATCAAAAGAGCCGCAGTGTGTGGGACCATCAGCCCCAACTAGTCCAGCTCTGTCCATTGCAAATCTCACCGGCAACTTCTGCAAATCTACATCATGTACTACCTGTGGGACACACCCATAAAGGATTAGAATCCAAATATGAGATTAACATAAGTACTGATTCAGCACCACATGAAAATCTTGTCATGATGAAGGAAGTTGAAGAAGCTGTATTGACTTGCCTGGTCATAGGCTCGCTGCATGAAAGATGAGTAAATTGCACAGAACGGTTTAAGGCCTTCGCAGGCCAGACCGGCGGCAAAAGTAACAGCATGCTGCTCTGCTATCCCAACATCAAAACATCTAGTTGGGAAACGGCGAAGGAAGAGATTCAAGCCTGTTCCACCTCCCATTGCAGCATGGATCGCCACAATATCTTTGTCCGCTTCTGCTTCTGCAATCAAAGCCTCCGCGAAGTATGTTGTGTATGACTGTGTGGAAGAACTGGATTTGAATTGCTTTCCAGTTGCTGGATCAAACTTGGCCACTCCTGAAAAGCACATACAAATGTATCACTTCCTAGTTTGGTGGATTAGATATCACATGAAGCATATGCAAATCATAAATGGTTTTATATTTGGTTTTGCTTCTCATGTTAATAATTGTATTTGTGTATACCATGGTACTTGTCAGCAGCTTTCTCTGCATATGGATATCCCCGTCCCTTCTCAGTGACACAATGAATCAGGACTGGACCGGTTGTTTTGGTACTCTTAACCTCTTTGAGAATGGCGACAAGATCATCTATGTTGTGACCGTCAACCGGGCCAATATAGTAGAGTCCAAGCTCTTCAAAGAGTGTTGATCCAGAACCACTTATCATCCCACGGGCATATTCATCAACTTTTGCAGCCAATTCATGCACTGAACCACCAATCTGTTTGGTAACTCCCTGCAAGAATCTCATTTAAACAAACCCGGATCAGATTTCAATCATTATTTTAGAATTGCATTGCTTTAATGTCCTTAATTGTGTTGGTTACTTACCTTGGCTACTTCTCTCAATTCTCTAAGTGGCCTGTTTGATTGCAACCTAGTGAGAGCACTGCTCAGAGCCCCAACAGGTGGGACCGGCCCGTCAAGGGTAGCAGTAGGCAAAGAAACTTGTTTATTATCATTGAGAATGATAATCATGTCAGAGTCAAGGTAACCAGCATTGTTCATGGCTTCATAAGCTTGCCCTGCAGTCATGGCACCGTCACCAATAACAGCAACAACATGGTTCTTTCTTCCCTTTAGATCCCTCCCAACAGCCATTCCTGTTTACCCATAAATTGCAAAAAAGGTCAAAACCAAGATGAAAAGTTTCACATATGAGACAACAAAAGATGAAAAGTGATAGTATCATGCTATAATATATAAGCCTGTTCCATGAAGAACTTCCACAACATAACATGCATATGGAACAAGTGTAAGATGTTATAACTAACAAACGCATGAATAATTAATATAAGAGAAAACTAGTTTTCTTCATATTGTCCAGATTCTTCAGCGTGATCACGAAAATTGAAAAGTGAAAACAATATTTTAAAAACAAAAAACAAAAAAGACTGAATAATTAAAGAAGAGAGGAGAATTTACCCAAGCCTGCTGAGATAGTAGTAGAGCTATGACCAGTCCCAAAGCAGTCATACTCACTCTCAGACCTCTTAGTGAATCCTGACAAACCATTTGTTTGCCTCATGGTGTGCATCTTGTCTCTTCTTCCAGTCAGGATTTTGTGAGGATAAGACTGCAAAATCAATACAAAAAGTGAATGACAACGAAATTTAGTTTCTGCTAGACTGCTAGTTCATGGAACCAATAAGGTGAGATTGAAACCTGATGACCAACATCCCACAATATCCTGTCCTGTGGAGTGTTGAAGGCATAATGAAGAGCAACAGTGAGCTCAACAACACCAAGGCTTGAGCCAAGGTGACCCCCGGTTTTCGAAACATTGAAGATGACATCCGACCGGAGTTCATCTGCTAGTTGTTTAAGCTCCTAATTCAACCAAATACAAAGATTTTAAGAGAATTGATTAGAAAAAATATCTCAATATGCAAAGGCTATTAAGTACTTGAGTTCATATATAAGTTGCTATGCTCCTTTATTATGAGAAGATATAAGGCTTTTTTTTTTCATATATTGAACAAGCATTAGAAATAGGCCTTACCTTGACCGAAAGATTTTTCATGTGAATTGGATAATTTATGGTGTCCAAGAGAGGAGTTGGTGGTCTTTGTGAGTGATACTCTCCCATCTCTGAAAGTGATGCATAAACCCCACCTGGCCTTTTCCTCACCTGCATGCCAAATCCCAACAAAACAGCCATAATTTTCAGCAACTTTCATATTTTCCTAAGACTCAAAATAAAAAAATAATAATAAAATAAAATTACCCCAAGAAAATTTTCAAAAGAAGAAAACAAAAGCATACGAGAAAAAAGAACCCACCCTTTTTTTCTTCTTTTCTTTTTGGTTTAATTGCAAGCTTACCCAGTTCAAAACACAACTCGAGGAACAAAAACTGAACAATGGACAAATACCCAATTTTGCTAACACAATTTTACACAAGTAATGAGAGTCATTTCTTCACGAACCTGATTTAGCTTGCATTGAGATTGCCCAAGCAGATCTGTTCCCCAAGAAAACTGAGACGAGAAAGAAGCAGACTTTTGAGGGTCCGAAGCCCGGGTGATATGGCCAGGGAACGATAATGTACAAAGCGCCATTACGGCAGAGCCAAAACAGAAACGACAATAAACAGAAAAAACGCTCAACGGGCTTCAAAACCGTAATTTGAGGAGTAATGGAGCAAAACCCCGATGAGAAAAACAGGGAACTACAGATTACAATATTGTATGTCAAGAAAGAAGGAAATATATATGTGTGTATAGAGAGAGAGAGAGAGAGAGATAAGAAGAAGAGTCTGAATTCGGAATTCCCACTTAGCAAGTGCTGGTGAAGTGGTGATAGTGGAGACCCAGTTGAATATATAGAGAGAAAGAAGAAGAGAGAGAATGGTATGTGCGAGTTTGTGGTTCTGATAGCGAGTGTCACTGAAGAAAGGACAGGTTTTTCCAAAATGGCCAACCCGGAGAGGATTTTAACTGTTATATTTTGGTTCCTATATCTATATATCTATGTACACATATATAATATATATTATGTATATATATATATAATACACGCATGGTCTTGTGCCATACCAGCAATTGTGCATGTTTTGTCTTGAGGATCAACACGGTGGCCTCTTCATTCATTGGACCACGTCACCAAAAATCCTAAATGGATAGATAGATAGATATGGTTTTTTTTTATTTTTTTCTTTACTTTCCCTTTTTCTTTTAAGAAAATAAACGTTAATTTCCTTTCAGGTTGGTGGTCCGTTATTTTCGCTAATTCGAGTTTAGAATTTGAGTTTTGTTATAATAAAAAGTTATCAAAAATAATCATATCTAACTTTTTTGTTACAGTAAAAAGCTCTCACACAACATCACATCTCAACTCGAATTAGAGAACCGAACGGATTTTTCCCTTCAACTCAAACTCAAATTAATGAACAGTTCCTTTTATATTCTTAAAAATATCATAATTTTTTCGTTTTAATTCTGATTGAGATGATTTTTTTTCTATGCATTCACAACGAAAAAACGAATAAAACCCACTCATATGCCCTATTAAAATTTTTCATCACCATTGAGTTTTTATTAAAATACTATCTAAATATAAATTTAAGTTTTGACACACCCAAATATAAACTCAAAAAGATTCTCAATTCAAATCATAACTCAAATGTGCACATCTAAATACAAACTTAAGTTACAATTTTAACTCAAGTTATAACTCAAACTCAACTCAAGATTGTCACCCTAACTCAAAAATGTAAAAGAACAATCCCAGAGTGTCGTAGAATCGAAAGCCATTGGTATTTTGCCCTTTTTTGCTTCACGTAATTTATGGGAATATGAGGAGTTGTCTAATTAGGCGATGTTGGAAAGGGAAAATGGAAAATATTGATTTTATTAAGTTATCTTCAGGGTGTAATGGTAATTTAGACCTTAAAATATCATTTTTTTTTAAGAACTATACTGATTCAAACTCTAAACCTCAATATGAACAAGGATATGTAAATTTATAACATCTGTAATGACAAATAGATACAAGAATTTGAAGTTTTTATCTTTACTTTATCAACTAATATGATAAGTGCATAGCCATCCTTGTATAGTAGGTATTTAAGAAGTTACCATACCAATTAGTATTAAAAAGTTGTAATAACGAGATAAGGGTCTTAATTCTTGTATTAACGTTTTAGTATCAACTTGACTCCTTATGGTTGTTGTTTAAAAGTTGGCGATGGCTATTAAGAAGGTTCCACCTTCTATATGGAGAAAAATGGGCAGAGAAGAAAGAAAGAGAGAGAGTTTCATGTAGAGGCATGAAGATCAGCAAAAGAGTAAAAGAAGAATTTGGATTTCTTAATTATGTTAGTGCCAATCAGTAAAAATGATTGATGTGTGAGTTATTTTCGCATGGAGAGAGAGAGAGAAATCTGTGTTCTAATATGAGAATGACAAATTGTCAAATCATTTGTATTAATTTTACTAACAATAGTACGGAATTCTAAAAATCAAAATCTGATAGCTCATAAACCTTCATTTTATTATCAATAGGTTCGGCAGAGGTCCTTGTATAAAAACGACATTGCTTATTGACGGTATTAGTTGCTTCTTAAAAAGTGTTCTAACTTCAACCACTACTACTTAGAAGAAAAAATAATAAAATAATAAATAAAATTACACCACGGGTCTCCAAACTTTTGTAATTTAATAACTAATATATCCTTCTCTTAATGCGTCTAGATCCTTTAACTGCTCTACGTAGGATGCTCTACACAGGCAATTCAGCCACTATTTAAGCCTCTTTTTCACTAAAAAAAAAAAAGGAGAAAGAGAAAGAAAACCCATTATTTGAGATTGAAAACAACATATTAGGAGAATATTATTGTAATCGAGGTTTTAAAAAGTCAAAAAATTAGGGA